TGAAGCATTATCCGTGCTGCTCCGCAACCCAAGATACATTCCGATTTCTTTTTTACTACTTACATCATAGTGCTTCTTCTCGGTTTTATTCACACATTTGCCATTCATGCACCACTTCCCTTCCCCGCAACTGGTGCCGTCTGCCCACGGGAAGTGTTTGGTTTGGCACACCAGCAGTCCTCCAGAAGTGCCCGTACACCACAGCGTCGTACACGTACTGGCTGCGTCGGGGCAGTGCTTGGACTCATCTCCAAATGTAAACTGGCACTGCCTGTTGGCATCGTACAACGTGCCCGGCAAGTCAGAAGGAAGCTGGATCGGTTTGTGGGGCTTGTCCAACAAACACTCACCTGAAATGGAAGGAAAAAGACATAAAAAAAAAAAACAAAAGGCAAAGCAGTCAGTGAGTTTGGTTTCAAATGAGAACTGCTTTGTAACCTAAGTCTTTGAGCCAATTTGTGCCACCGTTTTTGTAAAACTAAGGGTCTTCTAAATTCACTGGCAGCATGTAAAAGGTTAAGTCTATGCTGTAGCAGAAAGCACTCCGTTAAGAAAAAGGAAAAAGAAAGAAAGAAAGAAAAAGGGCAAAGCAGTAAAGCACAAGAGCTTAAATGCCACATCAATGGAAAGCTTAATAATCTCACCATGACCATTATCCAAAAATGTGGTAATCATGTAGGCACTACATGGAGACCACGGCTGGCTGCGATCCAGATTGGAAAGCATCGATGCCATCATGTGGAAATCCCGGCTTATTCCATTAATACCAGCACACTGCTTTGCATCGTCATGAGGCATGTTAAACACGTGGCCTTTAGGAAAAAAAAAAAAAAAAAGGAAAGTTTGTGATTTTAGGAAGTCTGTCCTATGCATTACCAATATTACTGTAGAGCTGCTCATAGCCTGGTCTTTAAATAATAACCCGAATCGGAATACTGCCAAACTTTAAGCAGATGGCACTGTATCTTTGCTCCCCTCACGGGCTTCTCCCATGCTTTTTTCCTGCAACCAGCCAAATACACAGCTCTTGCAGACAATGCCGTGCGGACAGGATTTGCTTCCCGCGTTTCAGCCCTGCTACAAGGCAAAGCTTTGCCTCCTCCCGACTGTGCTGGGGAGCGCAGGGTGCTCCGAGCCCACGGCGCGGGCTGGGCTTCTCTTTGCCTTACGGCATCAGGCTGGCTTCAGTTAATCACGAGACATGGCCTTGCAAAGTTCCGAGTACCTAGCTCGTGGGCTGTTGTAAAGGCAGCCTGTAAACCATCGTCTTCTATGATAGAGCAACTGCGGTTTAGATCACAAACTGTTCCCACGTCAGCCATCCCAAGAGTATCACATGTCTTGGCACCGCAGAGGTCCTGTAAAAAAAAAAAAAAAAAAGGCAGTTTCATTATTAATCAGATCAGAGACTTAACCTTGGCAAGAAACATCCAGCCCTGGCAGTTTGCCTTTACTTATGGAAAGAGCATAAATATTCAGCACTTCAATGGGTATGATGGCAAGAATCTGCCTTTGGAACGTACACGAGGGTTACACGTAGAAATAAAATGCATAATTTCCATACTAAATCTGCTAAAAATATATGAGGCAGAAATACATTGTGCATACTCTGAGCTTCACCTGAGACAGTGCAAACGGCACAATAAACGACTCACTAAAAAGCGGCTCGTTCCATTTTCAGCCTACTTTGCTGAAGCTGTGATGACCCGAGACTGCCTCTGAACACTTTTTCAGAGGTCTCCTGGCAGCGGGGCCCTCCGGGGGCAGGGAGCAACGGGATTTCGGGGATTTGAAAGATGGATTCGACCTCCGTGTCCCTCACCTGCCTGGTGAAGAGGATTGCCGTGTCGTAGTGCTCCGCGTGCCGGTCACTGGGTGGGTTGTGCTGCTTCTGCCAGCTGCAGAAGTTTCTCAAGGTCAGGGCCGCATTGGAAGAGATATCGGGTCCCTTCCGTTCCTCGTAAATGACCATGATTTTCACCACCACGAGGCTGATGGAGTTG